AACCTGGGGGCGCCCGCAGCAATAAGTTGCACATGCGAGATTTAAAATGCCTGGGCGCTAGGAGTCAACTACACGCTCTTGCTAGCGAGCGCAGCAGTGGCTGCTGAACGTAAATGTCTTCTGCGATATTAACTTGTGAGAATGAGGCACTGCACACGGTGAACTCAATCTATCATCTGTGGCCTTGGCCAATAAAATTAGGAAATGGTTTGTTGGCTATCAACGGTGGTTGCGCTGTGAAGACTGGTCGCACCCAGAGAATTTGCAAGTGCCATTGGCACGTGGCTGCCAATATGGGATGAACACCACTGCTCCACGCTCATTTAAGCAAGCCAATGCTTGATGACACTTTTACGAAGTTTAAGAGGACGTGGCCTTAAAGGTGGTTGAGCGGCTTAGTCGTTGGTCTCGGCCCAGTCAGAATGACTGCACGAACTCGTGATATTTGAATGCGTTTTTTTGTTGCCACATTTGGAAAACGTCAGCTCTCGTCGCGACAACGTCGCTTTGACTGTCATGCGACAAATGTTTCTCTGCGAAAGGGAACGTGGCAAAGTACGCCCCCACCCCCCATAGTGTCTGGATAACAGGTAACTTGAAGGGTAAGACGTCGGCACTGATACTGAGTGGAGCACTGCTCTGCCAAAGTTTCGGATGGGCGCTCCATCTCAGGCCGTTAGCAAAATTGGAATAGTATGAGGGAGTGGAACTGTAGTTAGAACCACTTGACGATTCACAACTATAAGTTTGGAAGTTGAAATCCCAGTGTGGATACGCTTAACTCAACATGTTTCTAGTATGGCTAAAATAATTTTGTGGGATGTCAACAGAATTTGCTGTGCGGAAAGACAAATCCACGCCAAAGGAACGTGGAATTTACCACCACTGGCTTAGGACCACCAATGGGATATGAGCACAGAGCAAGGCTCATTTGAGCTGGGAGCCACGCTCTTCTTTCTTTCTGGCAAGCAAAAGTTACCACGAGGGCTGGGTGCAGGCCAGCTACGGCGAATTGGCATGGTCAGGGCATTTCATAAAAGGACATGTGCGCTGAGTTACACGTCAGTGGGCTTCTCGCACCCACTTAAAAGGTGCCCCTCGAGCCAACCAGCCAGTGATGCCACCCAACAAGTGACTTGGGACACATCAGCCCCAAAGTGTCTCACGGCACCACAGCGCGTGAGCTGTCGATTCCTTGGGCCCCTTTTAAAACAATCGCGGTCACCACAACTTGCCTCCCCCCCCCAACGAAGGCGGGAAACCCCCTAATAGCCATGCCCAGCGTGATGATGCCAATAACGTCACCAAGCTTTAAACCATCACCAACTGTCCAGCGGCACACGTGGGAACACAGGCAGGACTTTATTTTCCCACAATTTTTATATTATCCACGAAGCTAAAAAGCGCCAGGCTTGCTGCGTGGACACTTTCGGATATTGCTGCATGGACACTAATATTTACAAGACAGAGCAAACCCAAGGACTACTGTTCTCTATACTCAAAGTAAACCAATCGAACTTCCAAAAAATACTACTTTAGCTTTGAATCATGCATGTTCCTAAGCGCCAGAGCCTCAGAAGAAAGAAGTTCAACAATACATAAAAAACTGAGAACTGATGAGGGACAGTTGGCAGATGGGTCAAACTATCCAGGTGCACTGGCGGAGCCAGTGGGGGGTGGGGTGGCACACCCCCTCCAATGATCCGATCGAAATCCCTAATTTCGTTCGGATCACTGGGGTTTATTAGTAATAAATCGGCATTTTGCGACCCCCACTGCCACGGCGTAGCATATTATTACGTGCCAGGGACTCCGAGATGATAGGACACTCGTCTGAGTCCATAATTGGCAATAAGTAACGGAAAAGCAGTTAAATTTTGATTTAAAGCTTTCGTGACTGCAGTAATTCATATTCTTAGCTCTTTCGGTGAAGTCACGTTGAAGGGAAACAATAAAATATATTGTTTTATATTTTTTTTATTGTTTCCCTTGACGTGACTTTACCGAAAGAGCTAAGAATATGGCAAAGCAGTTATAAGTGACTCAGAATTGTGCGTAGTTGCGTCTACAGTACACGACTTCCCTGAAGGCATTCACCTTCAGCGAGCGCGATGCCGATCACACAACGCGGTTCGAATTCGACCCTCGATCGATGGCTGTGCCATCGCTGCACACGCGTCGAATGAAAAGCAAGGGACAAATCCTTACTTACTAACTCCTATCATTTTTAATTTCTGGAGGGGTTGCCCCCCTTACCTGAAAATCCTGGCTCCGCCATTGTCCAGGTGTATTTAAGTGTTGTGCCCGTGCACAATCTGATGCCGTCACTTGCGATTACACACTTGCTCAGAAGTGACCAGGGGAGTGAGTCCCGAATCGGTTTTAGATTTGAGCTTTCTTGCGTATGGTAGTACGCCTAAAATTACATTTGAAAGAATACTGGCAAGAGCTTGTCAAGCTAAGTTACTATCAGCGCAACTGCACACCACCACTCTTCCCAAGGCAAAACTGGACTTTAAAAAGTCCAAGGCTGTTGGGCTCTAAACAAGACATAGGTCAGACTGCAATCAACAAAGGCTCAAGTGCAGAATTGGCACTTACACGAGAATACAGCTGTTGCTACGGCACTGAAAGTGCTTAACTCAAAACAATCCTCAATGACACTCTGGCCTTAAAATTGAACGTATGAGAGGCGACGTTTCGGACAATGACCCTCCTTCACAGCACATTAGGGTTGTTTACGTGATTTTTTTTCATTCCACATTTTAAATAGAGGCCAGAGGTGAAATACATCTGGTCTGTGTGCAATGCAGAAGGGCCATTGCGCATAACGTTGCCAAGTATATACTTTTTTCTTTTCAGGCAGTGTTAAAAATGTTAAGCAGTGACTATACAAAGTGCTTTCACACGCATACATGTTTACACGCGTGTTCTCACACACACACAGAGTGGGCTTGCTGGTGGCCACAATGGGTGTAGAGCGGAACACGAAGAAAACAAACGGTACGAGGGAGATTGAGAGTGGAGTGGGGGGTTAGTTTACATCGTAAAGTTGCTTGGTGCCTTTAACCACAAAACACTGCCAATCCACACACCACACACACGTGTCACTTCCTGCAAGCGGGGCCACGGTTTGCGCATGCGCAGCCCGCACACATTACCATAAATTAACAAATATTAGCATAATGATGTGGGAGATGGCCGCTAGGTGGACCAGGAAATGGCGGAGGGCCTGAGAAAATGTGGTTAGGAGGTAGTGAAAATAATGTTACTACATAAATAAAGTATTCTTTATAAAAGCAAATAGTTAAATCCAGCGAGATTAAAGGCCACTAAAATAAGACATGTAAGACTGTAAAACACACATGCACGAATGTGATCGCTATTGTCGGTAAAGGACAATTGATTAAATAAAAAACAGCCACGCTCGAACATAGCAAAGCCAAAATCAACAAAAGTATAAAATTGATTATATAGAACGATTAACCTATCCTTACCACCAAATGACAATACAAAACTAATCTTAAGAGAAATATGTAAAAGATAAGTAAACAAAGATTAAGACTAAACGCCGCGGTGTGTGCCCGTGTTAAAAAAGTGCACTTGTATGAGCAGTCGTGATTCTGATGGAGCTAAATGATGTTAAGTGGGTGTCTTGCGATAGTAGTAATATAAGTTAATGGCAGTAAACGTAGCGGTAATTTTGATGCATACGGTAGCAGAAATAAAGTCAGTTATAGCTATTTGGTGGTTACCGTAATCATGATAGTACATTAAACGAGGTAACGGCAGTGAATTTAGCGACTGATGGTGTAAGTCGTCGTAGTGATGGTGATGAGAAGCGACATTAAGTGGTGGTGGTTACGAGATGACAGTGATCGTGATCGTACAGCAACTTGGCAGCGATGTAGCAGATATTGTGATAAGTGTCAATTACGTTGGTAGTGATGGTTAGTGATGATAGTTGAAGTTATAGTAGCAATGTGAATTATTGAAACGCTGAGTGATGGGTATGGTCATAGTTATTGTAGTGTTTGTGATGCTATTAACGAAAATAGCCGTAGTAGTGTCGATGGCCAGTGATGTTTATACCGAAGACGAGGGTCGTGATAAGAGATTATAGAATCGACGGTTATGGCGGTAGCAACGGTGGCTTTAGAGATTATAGTCCCGATGGTTATATTCGTGATGCCGATACATTTAGTGATGGTTATAAGTTATATTCGCAATGTTCATGGTTATAGTATAAATTATGGTTATCGTATTGGTAGCATTAGTCGCAGTGATGTGGTGAGTTATAGGAGCAATGATGTTTAAAGACGTGACTAGTATTAGTAACGGTGGTGATAGTGATTATGGTTATAGTATGAGTGAGAGTACTCGTGATTTTAGCAGTAATGGGTATATTAGTGGCGGGTGTAGTTTTAGCGATAGGTATTGTAGCAGTAGTGATCGTAATAGTAGTGATTATAGTATGTGGTTATATAACTTATACTAGTAATGGTAATAGTTATTACAGTAATGATTGTATTATAACGATGGCAGCACCACTGGCGGGCGATGCCGACAATAGTATTAGTAGTGATTATGATAGGCGTACATTACTGAATGCTGCTTGCGTTAAGACAATAGCAGTCAAGTTAACACGCGTACAGTACACTGCGATACGGCTTGCTGTGGCAGTGACGAGTGGCGCTGCTTTTCCGATACTTATCACAATGCTGTTGCTGCCGACGAGGACCGTGACGATGGCGTTATATGTTTAACGAGTTAGCATCAGAGTAATGACGATGACAAAAAAGGTAAGCGCGTTAAGGTATAAATGGTTATACAGTAATGGCGGCGGAAGACGATGGAACGATGGCGGCGCTGTTGCCAACGATACTTATAACAAAGCCGCTGCCGCCGCCGCCGCTGCTGCTGCTGATGTTGCGGATGAAAATAGAAGTGGTGGAAGTGGTGGTTGTGGTGGTGAAGAGGGGAGTGCGAATTTACTCGACCTTTCGTCCCCCGCACACCCTGGGGCGCTACGGGCGGCACGGGTAGTGGCAACTGCTGGGGACGGGGATCTAGATAAGAGGCTTTCAAGAGCCATCCCTTCCGTTGGTTGCAGCCGAGCACTTAAACGATTCGGGTTCTTTTGTTGGTGGTGGTGGTTGTTGTTTAGTAGTAGTAGGAGCAGTAGATGTTGCTGTTGGTGGTCCGTGGAAACATCGGCGCGGGATGCGGAGCGGGCCCGGGCGCCGCTGCCGGGGCTCTGTCCTCGTAAAATGGCGGCCGCGTCTGCGCACGAAGCACGCCGAGGCAAGGGCTCATTAACATAATGTCTGTGGAAGCGAAGCATGAATATTCATGAGGTGGGCGAAGCGATGGGCGTGTGCTTCCCCGGCGAAATGCTTGAGTGGCATCACGCGACCCATCTCTCGATAATAATGTATGCAATATTATGTTAATAATATATAGTATATGTTTAATAATCTATCTTCTGGGTTCTTTCGGTAAAGTCACGTAGAATGGAGATAAAATAATAAAAATAAAAATAATCTGTTAAAAATAACGGAATAAAAGGGATTGATGACGTTACGCGGGATTTGGGTGAGGCAAGGAGAAGGGGTGATGACGTGAAGAGACGCTGGGGAGGTTACGAGAGAAGAAATGACGTCACTAAAGATTGGAGCGAGGAAGCCTGTGAATGACGTCATGATATATGGAGGAAGCAAATAGGTGGGCGATGGCGTCATGAGACGTGATGACGTCATGTGACGTGATGACGTCATGTAAAACGGCTCAAATGGGCGCGATGACGTCATGAAACTCCAGCAGTCACTGCGGTTGTAAATAACACGAGACTCCACGCACTATTTTTTTACCTCATGCCCGTTGCTTTGGTCTTTCTCTACTTTTCCCCATAATTGTATAATTAGTATGCGTGGTAGTAACTGGTTCAGCATAAACTATCAGAATTTATGATATTTATTTATACTGGAGGAGGAATCCGATGAGCTATGTCCCATAGGGGCCGTCCATAAATGACGTCACGCACCTAGGGGGGGGTCAGACATTTGTGACGATGTGTGACGAGGTGGGGGGTTAGAAATGTGACGTCACGTAAAAATGCGCAACTTTAAACAGTCATCATCAGGTTGTGTTACAGTCGAAACGTCGTGAAAATTGTATTGTTTTATATATTGTATTATTTTATTGTTTCCCTTCAACGCGACTTTACCGAAAGAGCCAAGAATATGAATCATTGCAGTCACGAAAGCTTTAAATCACGTTCTACTTAATTAAATAGACTTTTAAATAAATTTCGATTTAAAGCTTTTGTGACTGCAATGATTCATCTTCTTTGGTTCTTTCGGTAAAGTCACGTAGAATGATAATAAAATAATAAATTGATAAAATAAAATAACAATAATATTCTCACGACGTTTCGGCCACAACACAATCGGCCTTCATCAGGTGATGAAGCGCTGTCCTACCAGACAGTCTCGCCCCCTTCACCTGATGAAGGCCGCTTGTGTTGTGGCCGAAACGTCGTGAGAATATTATTGTGTTATTTTATTTTATCAATTTTAAATAAATGTTTTCTACAACATCAGAGTGCAGTGCTACATTAAATACGCACTACAATGACAATAGTTTAAAGCGATTTGAAGCATGTTTAAAAAAAAATGTGGGGGGGGGGGCAGAGCTTTGTGACGTCATATTTGAGGGGGGGTCTGACTTTTTGTGACGCCGTGTGACGAAGGGGGGGGGGGGGGTGTCAAAAATCGTCCAAAATCGCGTGACGTCATTTATGGACAGCCCCTTACAACAAACAATGCAAAAACATGATGGGCGTACAAAGTACAGCAAATCTAAGCAAATCACACAAAAATACAAATCAAGATTAAAACTAAGTTATTTTTTATTTACTAGTTATTAGCTTATGTTTCAGAAGCGACCTGGCCACAAACGATAGCTCAGCGAAGTGGCGTCACATCATGTGGACATTTATAGCAACCAAATAACCTAAATAATCTAAACGCGTGTTTCTAAATGTGTGGGGGGGGGGGGGGACCCCGAGGACCCTGATAAAGAGAAACACCAACTACAGCAGCAGGCAGCAGGGTCGAGATCGAACCCACGACCTCCTGCACACCGGGCGAGGTCGTTAACATCGAGAACAGCACTTGCTCCAAAAGTATGTTAAGACTATACAGGGGATCTTTGTCTTTGTAGTTATATTGATGAGAATTAGCCCCCTTGGTTGGTCAGTGTTTGTTAATAAGACATCATCAGTGCGTACAGCCGTCAACCCACACGATTTACCCCGTATCCCTGTACAGGGAATTTGAGTTTTGAGGTCCGTACTGCGTGCAGCCGTTTCAATATTGGGCAATAGATTTGTGTCTATTTGTTTGTGTTTCTCCCTTGCAAGGCCGTAGCAATGGATTCAACATTGGGGGAGGGGGGACCAAGTCTTCCAGGGTGTCTGGGGGTCCCAACCCAAAAAAAATATCTAAATTAGAAAACTAATTTCCTGCCTAAAACATTAACAAAAATTAACTAACACATGAGATGGAGTTTTCATGATTTTTTTTTACAATAATGTCTAATAGTGTATTGTGTTTACATTGCTCTGTTTTTTACTTTTTCACCATGTCTTGTTTCATTGTAATGGCAGAGATTAGGATTGAATAAAGTACAACCATAACCACAATCATATAAACAGAAATCTACGCGTTGATTTATATGAAGACAAGTCCAGATATTGTGGCCGAGGTTTAGCAAATTGTTATTTTTATTCACGTAGCATAGCAATTATTTTTTATAGCAATATATTGGTGGGGACATTTTGAGCATATTTGAATATTTGGGGGGGGATGTGTCCCCCCCCCCCAATATATATTATTATTACGGCCTTGCTCCCTTGTGATGGGACTTTGTAGGATCAACGTTGAGATTTATAAGGGGCACGGGGTGACCAATAAGGTCTGAGTTGGTCTGTAATAAGGTAGAGGGCACTAATAATGGGTTTGCAGGTTTGTCGTGTGTGAGGATGGCCGCACATTTGAAACCACTGGGGGGTTGACAGCAGCAGCACGAGGATGATGACGGTGGTGGGGGGACTGTTTTCACGATTTTAAACTATTTTCGAGGGATCGCACTCAAAGGCGACCACCAGGATCCGCCGGTGTCCCGCGCACGCCTTGCACGGAAGAGGGCGTGAGAAAGACGACACTCCCTGCACCCTTCCTTGGTGAAGCGGGCGGAGGCTCAAGCCGCGACTTACCACCGACCGCGACGCCACGGGGTGGCGCTCCCGGCTCACGCGTCGCTCCGTGGCAGCACACATGTGTAGCTACTACATGTAGTAGCTACACATGTAGTAGCTACTACCACATGTGTAGTAGCTACACTACATGTAGTAGCTACACATGTGTAGCTGCTACACATGTAGTAGCTACTACATGTGGTAGCACATGTAGTAGCTACTACATGTGTAGCTGCTACACATGTAGTAGCTACACATGTAGTAGCTACTACATGTGGTAGCACATGTAGTAGCTACTACATGTGGTAGCTACTACATGTGTAGTAGCTACCACATGTAGTAGCTACACATGTAGTAGCTACACATGTAGCAGCTACTACATGTGTAGCTATGACATGTGTAGTAGCTACACATGTAGTAGCTACACATGTGTAGCTACTACATGTAGTAGCTACACATGTGTAGTAGCTACCACATGTAGTAGCTACACATGTAGCTACTACATGTGTAGCTACACATGTAGTAGCTACTACACATGTAGTGCGGGGCCCGTAGCTACTACACATGTAGTGCGGGGCCCGTAGCTACACACGTAGTAGTAGCTACGGGCCCCGCACTTTCAAGGGCCCCGCGCTAAATGCTTTCAAGCTATCAATTCTGGTTCAGTGATTCTGCACTTGCTCTATTACTATAGTACTATACCGCCTTCGACTTTTACGACCGACTGGGTGGTTAACATTAGCGATTTTTCGTATTATCTGGGCTGTATAGCAAATGAAAAAAATTACAATTACTTTACTATGCAATTAATTTCTTAAATATTTAAACCGCTTGTGTTGCGATCGAAACGTCGTCGGGTTTTTCCTTTTAATTTAGATTTTAGTTTTCTATCTACGTGACTTTACCGAAAGAACCAAGAATATATTATAAAATGTATGTGTTTTAATATGTATGTTTTTTTGTTAATGTAGGGTCCCTTCATAACATCTGCTACAGGCCCCGCACTAGCTTCATCCGGCACTGGTTGTCCCCAGACACGTGTGTTGATGACCTGCGTGTCTGTACGTGCTGAACTTCTTTCGCACCGTGCGTACACAACGGGACGTGCCGAGTGCAAGGGGGGGGGGGGGGGAGTTGCACGTCTTCTTGGCAAACCAGCCATCGGAGCGAGAATCTGAATATTTGTTTTACCCGCAGGAGGAATCTGATGAGCTATGAAGCTCTTTTTTCACAGGTGTCCAAGTAGATGGGGGTTAGAACAGTACAACATCAACCAATGGAAAAACACGATAGGGGTGCCAAGTAAGCAAAGGTAAACAAAGCACTTAGATATATATAGATACAACTAAAAAAACAAATCTTAACAGGGAAAGCCCACTGACTTATTAACTTATTTTTCAGAAGCAGAATCAGAATATGTATTTATACTGAAGGAATCCGATAAGCTATAAAGCTCTTTTTCAGTAAAAGCGATCTGACCACAAATTATATCCCAACAAAGTGGTTTATCGTGTGTAAATGTAGAGCAGCCAAACTCTCTAAACGCGTGATGTTGATTCTAAATGTCGAGGGGGAAAAAAACCGGAGGACCTGGAGAAAAAAATCCACGCGACCATTGGGAGAGACACGCAAACTCCAAATACAGAGCAGCAGGCGTCAGGGTTCGGATCGAATCCCCGACGTTCTGTACACCAGGCGAGATAGTTAACATCTCACCACGGGGAGAGAGACACACAAACTCCAAATATATAGCAGCAGGCGTCAGGGTTCGGATCGAACCCCCGACCTCCTGTACACCAGGCGAGATAGTTAACATCTCACCACGGGGAGAGAGACACGCAAACTCCAAATATACAACAGCAGGCGTTAGGGTTCGGATCGAACCCCCGACGTTCTGTATACCAGGCGAGGAAGGTAACATCACACCACGGATCATCCTAGGAACTCGCCACCCGAGATCACCAGGAAGAACGCCGTTTGGCGAACAGAGTGGAACAACGCGGAGGTACGGAACGAACGCCTCCTCCTTTTTTCGAGACCCAAGCATCA